CTGTCATTCCTACCAACTGGCCTAAAAGTACTTAACATTTTTTGTATTTAGTAGAATTAGTGCTCCTTGATAAACAAGAATTGAAATCAGTTTCATTGAAAACAATTAATTTCCCCATCTCTGCCATGTGGGGGGAAAAATATCATGTTTTTCTATTTTAGATACACAGTAAATAGGTGACATAGGGGAATTTATTAGATACATTTTTTCGTATACCGGTATACCCGCTGTCTTTACTCTTGAAAGAAAATCTTAACCCAAGAACGGTTGAGAAATAATTTTAAAAAAATAACAGTGACATGACATTTTTTATTTTTTTAAATCTTAGAAGTCACAAATGATATGTACTGTACTGTTTAATTGCAAATTCACTTGTAAGTTTGGTATGCCTGGATACATCTTACTCAGTTAAGTAAATCAGCCATTCCCGTTTGCTCTGATAAGTATGTGGCCCCTTCAAAGGATGACACGCAAATTCATGAAGCATTCCATATTGTATTTTTTTTCTCTGCCAGAATTGATTTTACTGATCATAGGAGAAGCCACAAATCATCTTGATCCTTATTTCTTCTGTTTAGCTTTAACTTTAAGAAATATCCTCCTCTGAAAATGTGTTGGTCATCACCAGGCACTGACAGACAAACTATTATGATTATTGTCATTCGTGATGACTTGACAATAGATTTGTATGACTTAGTTGAGAACGATTATTTATAATTATAATATCTTGGCATGAAATTTTCGAGAAAATGGATTACAATGTGCAGCACTTGTCTCTGTTTGAGCTGAAAATTCATCAGCTAAGAAAGCACAATAGTGCACCGTTGTGACATCCAATGCACAGCAGACGAATTTATACTCTATGCTGTACCGGAGTCAGCTAACCCTTGTCCCTGAAGGTACTTGGTTCGAGCCTCTTGCTTAGCCTGCAGCGTCTCATCCGAAGTGAGCTGTATTCGGTGGTTGCAGGCGACAGTCCCGCTGATAACACCCTCCACCTCAAGGTCAATCTGGGACTGAACGGACTCACCGCTTTCCGTCTTGACCTCCTTTGCACACGGTACAGCACCGTGCAAGAACAGATCTTTTAAATTTTCAATATAGTACACGAAAAGGAGCTCATCGTCCGACTTCCGACGGATGTGGATGGGAACTTCCCCCTGCGGCATCGACATCCGCATGACGACTTTGAAGTCGGCCAGCACTTTCCGCTCCTCCAGCTGTATTTGTGCCAAGTATTTGCTGTGTGGTCCCACACTGATGTCGCTGGTGGCTTCCATCAGGAGGCTCTCCTCGAATGTCTCCCCTTCACTCTTGGTCACCTGTCCCACAGGTATAAGGATGGGGATTTGGATGGGATGAGGATGTAAATGTAAGAAGCGATAGGAGAATCAGAAAAAAAGGAGTTTAGAGAGGGTAAAAAAGACAAAAAGAGTGGAAAGGTGGGGAAGAGGGGGAGGGGGTGATAAAGACAATGGTTTGTGTGTGTGTGTGTGTGTGTGTGTGTGTGTGTGTGTGTGTGTGTGTGTGTGTGTGTGTATCATGTGCATGTGTTTTAGTTGTTAAAGAGAGAGAGAGAGAGAGAGATATCATGTAAAAATTATGTGCATTGTAATTGTATAAGACTGAGAGAAGCTCTGCAAACTGTGCACCTCTATGAGTGGAAAGGAAGCTGATAAAAATGCTCAAAATGTGGTAAACACTTCTCTGCCAGAATTCAGAATAGGTCTGATCATCCAGAGCGGCAACCACATGTCCTGCAATTCTATTTTCAAAGAAACATTCACCTCTGCAGATGTAGTTGTCATGGTCAGGCAATGACGGACGAACTGCCTAGCACATTGTTGTTCTGTTTGTTACACAGGTCAAGCAAGTTATCAACAAACAGCTACAAAGGAGTTGTCTACTCTTTTTATGCTCATTTCATGTTTAAAGTTCACGTAATCAGGTAGGTCTACATGAAAAGGGTAGCCTACGTTAATCTGTCCGCGTTGTTTTATGCAAGAAAAATTCTGAAATTATGCAAACTGAGCCCAAAAATGTGATATTATGCAATTCTCTTAGATTCTAATTTTAACAAAGAATAGGAAAATAATCAGAAATTATGCAAAAATTAAATCAAATTTAGCTTAGTTATGCGGGGTGCATAAAACCACAGGGACAGGTTCGTCGACAAGCTGTTCTTTAAGGTTTAAGGTTCAAACCCCAACATTTTGAAAACATGTTTTACTGCAGTTTCTTGATCACTGATCGGTTGCATGAGCTCAAGACATCATCAAAATTCGATTTTTGAATGTTGAAAAAAAAGCACAAATTTGATTAAATTTTAATAAAAACGTCAAGCCTATATATCCACTGTAACCCACAGTCAATTCTATGTTGATTATAAAATTGCCTTAACAATTGTATTCAACAAGCAGTGTTTGTGTGTGTGTGTGTGTGTGTGCATGAGTGTGTGTGTGTGTTTGTGTGTGTGCATGAGTGCGTGTGTGTGTGTGTGTGTGTTATTACCTACCTGATACTGTAGACTGGCTTCTGCACCAGCAAGTGGCAATCCCACTGTAAATTTGGCCTTGCCGCCGAGCGTAAACCCGCGCTGAAACGACACAGTCACCCTGCTGCGACGCTGCTTCTCAAACCGGAACTTGTATGTCTGAGGAGCTGCGGTGTCGTTGGAGAATTGTGTGTCCAGGGAGACAAACTCTGGACTGAGGTCAGCGGTTTGGCAGAAGGATGAGGGGAAGTGGGGTGGGGATGGGGTGGAGAGGAGAAGGAGGAAAGAGTTGACACTCATTGATAGTGTAAGGTGATACCGCAGTACATGCATAATTATAGGAGAAGGTAGGCAATACTAGCATCTGCGCTTGTTGCCATTTTTTGTCCAAAAGTTGCCAAAAATTGCCACAAAAAGTGGCAAAAGTAGTCACAAAAGTTGCCTTTAATTTACAAGCTTTCGACTCTCTCTGACGACGTATAGCATTATGTTGTTAGAGGTACATGTAACAATCTAAACACCAGAATTTCTTGTGCTCTGTTTTAAGTATCCAGAATATCATTTGTAGTCACCCAGAGGGTAAAAACATGAAAAATAAAGGTTTCACAAAAGAATGAAATCAAAATTAGAATAGCACGGAGAACCACAAAAATTCACAAATTAGGGCGCGTGTCCACCTATCCGAAGATTGACCGCTTTAACCCTAAACGTGAGTAATTCAACAAAAAGTAATCCTACAGGATGTTACATGTAATGTAAATCATGGAATCACACACAATGGGGGCGTGCCAGTGTCAGTGTTCGGTTTTGGTGGAGACACCCTCTAACATAACACAGTTATATTTTTAAAAGAATACGAACATCATTAAATTAAATGACATTACACTGTATAAACACACACAAAAAAAAGAAAGAGAAATCATCAGAACAATTTTTAGGAAAATTAACTCACGAACAAATTAAAACACAACAAAGATGGAAAAATATAAGACAGACAGCAATATAAATAGTATGTAATGTAATGTACTTAAATTCCCCGCGTGAAAATAGATACTCATGGACATCTTAAAACTTATCAAAATACATGTTTAATATGTTATGAAGTAGCTTTGTTGTTTTGTCTTAAATTTTGAAACGAACTTTTTGAAAAATGCAAAAATCGAGGCCCAGATTTGCGGACCAAAAAATGCCAAAAATCGCGGGTCTCGGCTGCGACAAACGCAGATGCTAGGCAATAAAAGAAAGGAGGGAGTTTGGGGTTGGCACGGGAGATTTTGTGAGAGAAACTCTCTAGTTATTAGTAGAAGTAGTAGTAATAGTAGTTGTAGTTGTAGAAGTAGTAGTAGTAGTAGTAGTAGTAGTAGTAGTAGTGGTGGTAGTGGTAGTAGTAGTAGTGGTAGTGGTAGTAGTAGTAGTGGTGGTAGTTGTAGTAGTAGTAGTAGTAGTAGTAGTAGTAGTCGTAGTC